GCTAGACAGAGAGAGCTCGTTCTCTGCCGTCCCCCTCCAAGCGGCACAGCCCTTGCCTCAGGAGCGCGCGCTCCGGCCACTTCCCTGTACCCCGCTTCCTCCCCAGCCTGTCACAGCTCCATCCAGCACCGCTCCAGTCTTGGGAGCGTGAGCTCTGGTTACCTCTCTGAACCCAGATCTCATCCCAGTGCGCTACAACTCTGCCCAGCACCGCCTCTGCCTCGGGAGCAAGAGCTCCAGTTACTTTCTGGTACCCAGTTTCCATCCCATGTTGGCACAACCCCCATCTGGCAGTAGCTGGCATCAGACCGTCCCTCACAAAAAGTAAAGCAAAATAAAAAAAAAAATAGATCTAATTAAAAGTGATAAGAAAGGAAACTATATCTTGCTGAAAGGTACCACAGACAGTGAAGTAATATCAATACTAAACACATATGCACCAAATAGAATAGCACTGAAATTTCTGAAGAAGTTGAATGAGTTACAGGAGGAAATAGATAATCAAACTATATCAGTGGCGGACCTCAACTTTCCCCTCTTGAACTAGATAGATCTAACCAAAAAATAAACAAGAAAGAAGTTAAGAAGGTAAATAAAACTCTGGAAAAGTTAGATTTGATAGCTCTCTGGAGAAAATGGAATGGGAACAGAAAGGAATATACCTTTTTCTCAGCAGTACATGGCACCTACACAAAAACTGACCATGTATTAGGACATTCAAAAACCTCATAACCAAATGCAGAAAAAGTAAATACATCCTTTTCAGATCATAAAGTAATGCAAACTACATTCAATAGTGGACAATGGAAAGACAGATTAAAAATTAATTGGAAATTAAATAATCTAATCCTAAAAAAGAAATGGGTCAAAGAACATAGAAACGACTGATAATTTCATTAAAGAAAATGACAAGGCAACCTACCAAAATTTATAGGATGCAACCAAAGTGGTACTTAAAGGAAAATTTATATCTCTAATTGCTAACATCAATACAACAGAGAAAAAGCAGATCAATGAATTGGGCGTGCAACTAAAAAAACTAGAAAAAGAACAAATGAAAAATCCCCAATTAAACACCAAATTGGAAATCCTGAAAATCAAAGGAGAGATCAATAAAACCAAAAGTAAAAAAACCACGAGAAGCTGTTTTTATGGGGAAAAAAAAAAGCAATAAAACAGATAAACCACTGGTTAATTTAATTTTAAAAAGGAAAGAAGAAAACCAAATTACTAGTATCAAAAATGAAAGGGGTGAATTCTCCACCAGTGAAGAGGAAATTAAGACAATTGTTAGGAGCTATTTTGCCCAATTACATGCCAATAAATCTGACAATCTAAATGAAATGGATGAATATCTACAAAAATGTAAACTACCCAGATTAATAGAAGAAATCAAGTACTTAAATAACCCAATCTTAGAAAAAGAAATTGAACAAGCCATCAATGAACTTCCTAAGAAAAAATCCGGGGGACAGCTAGGTGGCGCAGTGGATTATAGCACCAGCCCTGGATTCAGAACGACCTGAGTTCAAATCCAGCCTCAGACACATAACACTTACTAGCTGTGTGACCCTGGGCAAGTCACTTACCCCCCACTGCCCAACCAAAAACCAAAAACCCAAAAAAAAAAAAAAAGAAAAGAAAAAAAAAAGAAAAAAAGAAAAAATTCGCAAGACCAGATGGATTCACAAGTGATTTCTACCAAATATTTAAAGAATGACTAATCCCAAAACTATATGAACTATGTGGAAAAATAGGTGAAGAAGTCCTACAAAATTCCTTTTATGACACAAATATGGTGCTGATACCTAAATTAGGAAGAGTAAAAACAGAGAAAGAAAATTATAGCCCAATTTCCCTAATGAATATCGATGCAAAAATTTTTAATAAAGTACTAGCAAAGAGATTACAGCAATAAATATATCACAAGGATCATACACTATGACCAAATGGGATTTATACCAGGAATTCAGGGCTGGTTCAATATTAGGAAAATTAGGATCATAATTGACCATATCAATAACAAAACCAACAGAAATCACATGATTATCTCAATTGATGCAGAAAAAGCCTTTGACAAAATACAGTACCCATTCCCATTAAAAATACCACAAAGCACAGGAATAAAGAGAGAGTTCCTTAAAATGATAAGTAACATTTATCTAAAACCATCAATCAGCAAGCATTATCTGTAATGGGGATAAGCTAGAAGCTTTCCCAATACAGGTAAGGATGGAGCAAGGATGCTCATTATAACTCCTGTTATTTAATATTATACTAGAAATGTTAGCCATAGCAATAAGAGAAGAAAAAGAAATGAATTAGAATAGGCAATGAGGAAACAAAACTATCACTCGTTGCTGATGACATGATGTTATACCTAGAAAATCCTAGAGAATCAACTAAAAAACTACTTGAAATTATTAACGACTTCAGCAAAATTGCAGGTTATAAAATAAATCCACATAAATCATCAGTATTTCCATATATTACCAACAAAGCCCAACAGCAAGAGATAGAAAGAGAAATACCATTTAAAATAACTGTAAACAATATAAAATATTCGGGAGTCTTCTGCCAAGATAAACCCACTATATGAACACAACTACAAAACACTTTCACGCAAATAAAGTCAGATCTAAACAAGTGGAAAAATATTAATTGCTCATGGGTAGGCCAAGTCAATAAAATAAAAATGACAATTCTACCTAAATTAATCAATTTATTCACTGCCACGTCAATCAAACTATCAAAAATTATTTTACAGAACTAACAAAAAAGATTAAAATTCATCTAGGAGAACAAAAGCTCAAGGATATCAAGTGAATCAAGGCCACATCAGATCTCAAGCTGTATCACAGAGCAGTAATTATCAAAACAATCTGGTACTAAGAAATAGAGGTGGATCAGTAGAATAGGTTATGTATTATAGTAAATGACCATAGTAATCTGGTATATGATAAACCCAAAGATCCAAGCTTTTGGAATAAAAGCTCATTATTTGACAAAAACTGCTGGGAAAATTGGAAAACAGCTGGCAGAAACTAGCTACAGACTAAGATCTCACGTTGTGTACCAAGATAAGGTCAAAATAGGTAAATGATTTACACATAAAGGGTGACACCATAAACAAATCATGAGAGCATGGAATAGTTTATCTATCAGATTTATGGATAAGGGAAGAATTTTGGACCAAAGAAGATATAGAGAGCATTGTTAAAATTGATCATTTTGATTATGTAAAAGTGTAAAATTGATCATTTTGATTATATAAAATTCAAAAATTTTATACAAACAAAACAAATGCAACCAAAATTATAAAGAAAGCAGAAAACTGGGGGCAGGGTGTGTGTGTATAAATTTTGCAACAAGTATCTCTGATAAAGGCCTCATTTCTCAAATATATAGAGAACTAAGTCAAATTTATAAAAATACAAGTCATTCTCCAACTGATAAATGGTCAAACAGGCAGTTTTCAGACAAAGAAATCAAAGCTATCAATAGTCATATGAAAACCTGCTCTAAATCACTACTGATTAGAGAAATGCAAAATTAAAACAACTTTGAGGTACCACATTATACCTATCAGAACGGTTAATATAACAGAAAAGGAAAATGTTGGATGTTGGAGAGGATGTGGGAAAACTGGGACACCAATGTACCGCTGGTGGAATTGTGAACTGATCTAAATATTCTGGAGAGCAATATGAAACTAGGCCCAAAAAGCTATAAAACTTTGCATACCCTTTGATCCAACAATACCACTGCTAGGTCTATAGCCCAAAGACATCTAAAAAAAAGGGAAAAGAGGGGTAGGTAGGTGGCACAGTGGATAGAGCACCGGTCCTAATCAGGAGGACCTGAGTTCAGATGTGGTCTCAGACTAAACACTTAACACTTACTAGCTGCGTGACCCTGGGCAAGTCATTTAACTCCAATGCCTAAAAAAGAAAGAAAGAAAAAAAATATTAAAAAAAAAGGAAAAGAATTTATTTGGACAAAAATATTTATAGCAGTTCTATTTGTGGTGGCTAAGAACTGGAAATCAAAGGGATGCCCATCAATTGGGGAATGGCTAAACAAGCTACAGTATATGACCGTAATGGAGTATTTTTGTGCTACAAAAAATGACAAGCAGGATGATTTCAGAAAAACCTGGACTTACATGAACTGATGCAGAGTGAAGTGAACAGAATAAGGAACATGTACACAGTAAGAGCAATATTGTACAATGATCAACTGTGAATGACTTCGCTCTTCTCAGCAAGACAATGATCCAAGACAATCCCAAAAGACTAATAATGAAGCATGCTATCCACCTCCAGAGAAAGAACTGACACTGTTTGAAGCATACTATTTTTCACTTTCGTTTTTTTTCTTTTAATCAAGTCTTCTTGTATAAAATGACTAATACAGAAATGTTTTACAATAATTGCACATATATAACCTACATCTGATTGCTTACTGTCTCAGGGAAGGGGGAGGGGAGGAAGGGAGGGATAGAATTTGGAACTCAAAATTTTAAATAAAAATGTTAATACAAAAAAAAAAAAAACTAACATGTTAACATTAAAGTACACTTAAAAAAAAAAAGCAAGGTCTACGTAGCGGAGATTGAATTTCATATGCTGTCCTGCTTTCTGTACTTTAGGAAAACACTGTATTTGTTGATGTTGCCAAGTTCAAAATAACAAAAACGAAGTGTTTAAAAAAAAAAAGAAATAAAGTAAAGCTCAGGTGGTGTTCTAATTACAGTTATCCCTTTTACATCGTGGTTGTCAAGGTTATGATGCTTCCCACAAATTGGAAAATCTGAGTGTAAGTTTTTGGCCCACTCTTTGTAGCAGAAAAAAAGTCTCAATTATTATGGTATTAAAGAATAAAATATGTTGAGATTATATAACACTATACACATATTATATACATTTCTGAGTTTCTAGACTTTGTGTCTGCTAGCCCTCACTTCTGTTCTGTGGCTTCCACAAAACTCCCTCCAAATTCCCATTTAATTTCTTATGCTGACCCGCGATATATCGAAACCAGGAAGGGGAAAGTTGTGACGTGGAAAGGATAACTATATTTGTTAAGAGACACAATTGTGACCTACTCAGATGAAGGAAACACAGGGATGAATCTTCTTAGAAGAGGGCTGACTCTGGGCCTACCAGGATAATCACATCACTGCGAGGCATTTAAGTCCCTGTCATTTTTTGTGGCTGGTGATCACCTAGACGTAGAGCAGACAAGTCAGAGAAGAAAGCCATACCAAAAGCGGTGGGGCGCTTGGGTGCTGGCTTTTCTTCTTCCTCACTAAAATGATGACATCAGCAATAAAGAACGTTTATCTTAAAGACATGGGGTCCTATTCCATTACCCAGAGCAGCTGAAATAATCAGTCAGAGAAACAAGAACCACTTTGCAGCGATCATTGTAAGAAGCCACACTGTTGTCCTGCTGTCCTGCTCGCTGCAACAGAGCCCGGTGCCAAGCACATCACAGAGGCCCAATGAAGACTTGATGAAATTAATCTAATTTAGGGTTCAGCAAGAGGAGGGAAATTTGGAGAGAATCTAAGAGAATGATGAAGCATTAGAAACGTTAGGGAAAACGAACAGAACTAAAATATAATGCCTATAAAAAAGTCAAAGAATAAGTTAATAACTATTTTAAATACAGAGGGCATTATTACATGAAGGACAGTGGCAGTTTCTCACTTTGGACAAAGAAACTAACTGGAAGGTGGAGTAAGATCAAGCGTAACTGACAGAGCTGGAAATTGACACGCTCGTTACCAAAGGTGCTTTGAACATTTCTGAGAGATTAAAAACACACATTAAAGGACAACACGAATGAAGAACAGATTTTAAGTACAGACGTGTCTGAAATGAGGGAATGGACAGGATAAGCTTTCATGATCCCTTTTACCCCTACATGAATCTGAGAATGATACTGAAAACGCTGAGATCTTTCTTCCGACGGTCTAGTCTATAATGTCTAATTTAGCTTGTTGTGTTTCAAGATGCATTTCCAACGCTGGAGACGCACAAAAGGAAACGTTCTGATCCTCCCCTATGCTATCAAACAATCTTCCATGGGGCTATCCTCTAATTTCTAGCATCAGAAAGAATCAGCTGTTAGCTGTCTTCTGACAAAGATAAAAACTACCAGGGAACCCTAAATGGAACAAACAAGCAAACACAGTTTAGTCTATAGAACAGCTTAAAGGACACTGCTTTTCATTATGTGCAAAATGTCTAATTTGTGAATAGGTTTCATATTTGTAAAGAAAGGGATTTTTCAACAGCACCGGAGTTTGACATAGAAAAAAAAGGAAAGCTACCCAGAGCATTCTAATGTGGCAGCTGATACACCCCACTGAAAAAATAAATGAAGATGTTCGCTCGATGTCCTACTATTATAACAGCCCACAGCAATCTTCTCTCATGCATCCGCTGTCCCTTCAAAAAGCCAAATATGACACATAATAGGAGGACAATGAGCCACTGGAGAGGGGCTCCAGGGAAAGTCGAGCTTCCCATCGGCTGTGGGAGGCTGCCCATGGGCAGCACAGGGTCTTCCCTGCGATTAGCACGTGCACCCAAGCAAGGGTGCTGGCAGAGTTGGTACAGAGACTTCAAGAACAATTTACTTCACTGAAACACCAAGAAGGCGTGAGACTAAGGAGGGCGCTTGGGAGTGGCGCCACACTCTGCTCCTGGTTATGGCAACTGGAGATGCTCGGGGCCCTCAGAAAGGGGCTTGGCAGGACAGATGTCCCATGCACGTCAATCTGTGGATCAATGGGTGTCTGACCATGATCACCTTAGAAGACCGTGCTGGTGCTGACTTTGCCGACACATTTTAATGAAGGAGGTGGCACAAGATGCTCTACCCAGGGGGGAAAGAAAACCACCCATAACCTCATGATTAGACTACGGAATGAAGACAGACCAAGTCATGCTAAAAAGCAGACCCCAAAAGTGAAAGGGGGGAAATACAGCAGGATAAAATTTAGAATGGAAATATAAAAGAAAGTATGTCTGTAATTGAGTAAATCGCGAGGACTCTAGGAAGCTGCCAGGAGAACCACTGCAGGCCTCATCATCTCCATCAGCTCACGAAGAGAACCCTGTCACTCTGGGTCTATAATAACTGACCCCAGATGAAGCGCACACAAATAATTTACCTAGTACCTGGGCACCGACTGTCCATTTGAGGAGACACATGGTTTCATCAGCTTTGTTGGGGTGGGGGGTCCATCTGAGAACTGATGAACTGGGCGGCCAGAGGAAGCAGCCTTAAGATGTGACCTGGGCAGAACATCAGTCCCAGCAAGAGGTGCTGGACAGAACTAAGGGGTCCAACTGGGCACATGCCAAGGGTCTCTGGCTCATGCACGTCTTGGATATTTCATCATCTACCCGGTCCATACAAACAGGATCAAAGGTCGAGAGTGGGAACGGACCTCAGAAGCCTTAGAATCCAAGCCCCTCCCAGCTGGTTAGTGGATGGGATTCAAGCTCAAGTCTTAACTCCCAAGCTTATTTCTCCTTGACCTTTCCCTTGATGCTGTTGTTAGGACTTCCCTGTTCTTCCTTTTCCTGGCTGGTGCCTGGACCTGTCCTTGTTTCCACCCAGGCCCTACTTCACTCTGGCCAGTGTGCATGACAGGTGGCTGAGTTGGCCATTACAAGGGGGGAGGGGGTGGAATTCCCACAGCTGTTTTCTAGGTCCCAGCACTAGTCTCCCTTGGCAGACCTCCACGAACAAAGACCTTCCATGAACTCCAATGGGAATGGGTGACTTTGTCATTCTCTATGTGGTTTAAAGAGCAGAGGAAAAAAAAAACAACACAAAATTCGTGCACTGCAGTGGGGGTGGTCTAGTTTGGGGGAGGGAAGGGCAGGAAGAGAAAGGCTTCAAGAGCAATCTTTTTATTTCCTGGTTTCTCCCTTGCTTACTAGAAAAGGAAACCTTAAAAAGGTCCTATATTTCTTAGAAAACCCCCAAAGAGCCAATGAAGGAAAGATGCACTAATGAGAAACAACAGGTGGTTATGAAAAGGAAGGTGGGTGGGCCAATCCTGGGAGTTCCAGGCAACAAGAAAATCTGTCAGACTGAGAATGACCCCCAGGAGATAGCACCAGGAAGGCCCAGGTCCGTGGAGCTCCTCATCCTCTTTTTCCTGGATTCTTGTCATGGCCCCTCCTCCATCCTCCTCACCTACAGCCCCAACCCTGCTGGAATTCCTGCCCCAGGAGTCACTGCCAGTGGCTCTGAGCTACAGGGGTCCCAGGTTCCCATGGCCAGGAGGGGGGAAATGGGGCAGAAAGGACATCCCTGATCCCACTGATGCCAGCAACTGAGGGGGATTCCTGGCATCTCAAGCTGGAACCTGGGACCCATTTTCCCAAGACAGCATTCTTAGCCAGGGTGGCTGAATTTTCTGATACTTAGTATATTACAGATTAAATAGTCTTTTTGTGGATAGGCCCAATAGCCAAACCATGATAAGAAAAAAACAAAACAAAACATGGTTTCTGTGGGAAAATGAATTCCAAGTGTCCATTTATGAAACGCAATCTGTTCAACAAACTGGGACCTGCTCATATTTAAATACCCCACAAGTGATCTGAAAATTACAACACATACCAGTTTATCCAGAATAACTAGCAAATGGGGTGCTCAGATTGACTTTTTGGGGTAACAATTACCATATTACTGATTTTTTAAACAAACTGGAATGTAATCTAATATGCTTTAACACTAAAACCATGCTGAACAGAATCTTTCTAGATATATGTATTATCCCAAAGGTGCTTTAGGATCTTAAGGTGACACAGATGACGGTCTTCCTTACGAACATGGATTATCACTATAGGAAAACACAAAGACAGGGGAGGTGGGCATTCTGACTGTTTGGACACTACAGGAACAGAAGCTGGTCGCAGCCGTTTACACATTCAAGAAGAAGTGACCACCAAGATGGCAGATGAGACACTGTATCCTGGCTCCACTAACTTCTGAAAATTTCTGAAAGGAGGAACCACGTGGCAGATGTGAACAACAGTGGAATTCACAGACCAAAAAAAAAAAAAAAAAGAGAACCCCCAACAAGGTAAAATCCTTGTGGATTAACTGTGGAGAATGCTAACCCTTAAAGAGCTCATTCAGCAAAGCATCCACCTCTATGCTCCCTTCTACCAGGTCAGAGAGACCAACCCAGGAGCTGATGCCAGGCCCATCACTAGGCTCTCCTGCTGCAGTCACTTGGACAGCATACCCCACCCCCCATATAATGGGGGGGGCGAGAAGAAGAATCAAAGAGGCATAGACTTTGCCTGGAAAGCCACCTCTGAATTCTGCAAAAAGTCAGTAGATGCCAATACAGCTCAGCCAGAGGACACAGGCCAAGGGGGAACTGAGATAAGGGATAAGCATGAGTGGCTGCCCCAGATCTGAAACCCAGCTGCAGCTGGTTCTATCTCCCAGAGACTACTTGAGGCACAAACCAAGACTGTCGAAACCTAAATCTCCCGGTGTGGGAAGAGGCCGAGGCTGAGACCTGCGAGTGCATCCACCAGCAAAGTGGGGGGTCGGGAAGGGGGAATGGGGGAATACAAGGGGGGAAGAATAAAGACTTCCAGGGGAAGAAAACCCACCAAAAACAACAGAGCACCAGCAGATAAATCACCCAAGAAGATCCCAAAACTTGAAGGAAAGATAAGTATTAAACCCTCAACAATATCATAAATACTAACTAGAAGAGAAAGGGAAGTGAACTAATGCCTAATGAAACAAAGAATCCAAGAGAGCGTGGAGCAAGAAATTCTAGAATAGTTCAAAGGAGAAATGAAATCCATAAGAAATTAGGAATTAATATATCAGAAACTATAGGTCTCAATGCATTAATAAAAAACTCAATTAGCAAATTAGAAAAAAATTCAATCTACAGTGTATTTCTCCAAAGTGGAACACAAAAATGGTTAAGTAGAAGAAATCTGGCAGAAGGAAAAGGAAATGGCAAAATCATGAAAAGAACACATGATCTCTAAACAAGCTAAAGCGATTTACCTTGAAGATAGGATATCAAGAGACAACTTAAGGATCACAGGTATCCCACAAGAATATAGTACATTAAAAAAAAAAGGGCAGGAATAAAATAAAAACTGCCTCAAACTTCTAAATGCAGAAGACAAGACACATCAAAATAATCCACAGACTGCTTCCAGAATGAAATCCTACACCTTCAGACCCCAACACATACAGTTGATAAATTTAATAATTCCAATAACAAAACAGAGATCCTCAAGAGTTAAAAAATCATAAACACAGATAAAGATGTTAGGAAAATTTAAAGAAAAAAGACAAATGAAGGTAGAGGAGTAGAAATGAAGGCCAAGTGGGGGACTGAACCCAAAGTTATAGAGTGGAAGGGGAGTAGATGGGGACAAAGGAAGGGAGTGGGTGATTTACCCTTATTAAATCCTAATTTGGAACACAGGTTAATTTCTATCATTGGGCATTGCTTCCATCCCACTACTTTCCTGGTGAGTTGATACTTCTAAGAGTAAGATACAACAGAAATAAGGAACAATGGGGCAAACTTTAAAAGGTAGTAACAAAAAAATTGGTTAGAAGGACTTCAGAAGTTTTAATGCATAAAGAACACAAGCTCAAAGAGGAATTAATAAGGATCTAAAACACAGTTGAAAGATTAAAATTTCAGAAAAGAGATAAAACTTAATGAAGACAAGCAAAGAAATGCTACCTAGAAAAAGATGCTTAAAAAATGTATGAAATTTAACAAACCACATACTAATGACGAACTCTTCACTGAAGTCTAGAGTTCTTGAGTGGATAAAGTGAACTAATTCTAGATCTTCTAAGTGCAAACAGCCACAAGAGGATGTCAAGTACACAATGCCCCTACCTTGGTATGGACCCAGAGAGAGGGAGGATGGTTGGTATATTTCACTGCTAATTCCAAAGCATTTTCTTGTTTTAACAGGCTCGGGCTTGAACAAATTGAGAATCCACCAACCACGGGAACATCAGGAATAAAGAAATCAACCCTAAAGTAGAAAAGCAAATAAAATGTATGATTTCAGTTAACCAAAATAATAATAATAATAATAATAATAATAAAAAGCAGTTATCTGACAGTATTTGCTAAAACAAAGTGCCTGACATACATTCTTGAAATCTCATCTAGTTTTTCCTCCTGATGCTCTTATCACAATACTATATTCTACACAATCTTTCTTCCTTCACTCTTATCACAATGCTATATTCTGGGATTCCTCACATTTCAAAAGTAAATACCATACTGAGCAGAAATTCTTAGAATATTCTGGCCAATTGAGACAAACCTTTTCAAAACACTAAGTAAAGAAAAAATAATAAGCACTGAAAACTGCCAAATTCCAATTCCCAATTTCACAGGAAATAAGATAAGTCAACAAGCTGCTCCTCCCACCAGGAAAACTAAGTATAATTTCCACTTGGTTTCTGTTTGTTTACCAATGGCTGACAAGTCCCTCTGTGGATGATTTTTAAATGCCCCAAGGCTAGTGGTCAATTTGGAGTGCTAATCTAACCTCAGACCCTATTTCTCACTCTGTTGTTTTCCATTTGTAAATAATTCTCCTAATTTTGAGCGATGAAATGGTTGAATTCGAGATAAGAGTTGCCACTGATTAACAGCATACATACATTGTCCATTCCCTGGTCAAATGGCGAATCTAGACTGTGCTGGGTTTATCACCTGCCCTGTAGCGCCCTCTGCTGACGAGACGCTCCCAGAGGCTTCCCAGGCCAGGCTTCTGAGTGAGCACAAGTGCTTTAAGGACAGGATGTCTGGGCTTTCTGGATGGCCTCCAAATGACAAAACAGTCTTTCTGGACCAGGACTCCTTCTTTGGGATTAGGATGAAAATGTACATTAGCAGAGGAAGGGAATCAGAGGTCTCTATCAGATCATTCACTGTGTGTTCAGAAGAGGACAAGTGGAAAGGGAGGGAGCCTAAGAGGAACTCTGCCTATCTGAATGAAATCATGCTGCCTAGAGCAAGCTCCGAACCCACAAAAAAGAAAACTCTTTATTTTTGCTCAAGTCTCCCAAGGGTCCTGAGTCCTAGATGTCAGAGCTCGGGCTAGTCTTATTAATGCTACATAGATAACAGCAGGTTTTTGAAGGGAGACCTGGGAACCAAACCAGCACGGAAGAGCCTATGGACAAACGCATTCTGAATTTCAAGCAGTCAACTCATAAATGAATCTTGGGGAAATAACATATGGAAAGATGAGGGGCTGCCTTTGATAGGCGCTTGCTCAATAACGAGTAATACATTAAGCACCCCAGAAATCCAGGAGAGTCTGAGGAGCTCAGCAGGAATGGTCAAAAAAAGGCCACACAGTAGCGGGGTTGGATCTAGAAGGATGGGTCCTGTTTCTATGGTATTTCTCCTGCTTCCACAGTGGAGACGTCCGTCCTACCCACGTGACCCTGGGTCAGTCATTCTCTGCCCTTTGGTTTCCTTCTCTGTAAACAGGAGGTGGTCAGACTAGACTGGGCTAATGGAGCTGCATGGCTGCCCTGAGTTCTCTTTCTGTCCTAGATCTGACTCAATCATCCTCAGATCCTGCCTTTCCCATTTAATTGCTACTGGGCAAGTGACTTGCGTAAGGGACCTGAGTTTCAGGTGCCTCAAATGTAAAACACAAATCATACCTTCCTGGTGTGACTGAGGGAGCTGCTGGGAGGACCAATGGAAGCGTTTTGTAAAGGAAGAACAGAGGACTGCCCACTGCTACAGTAGAATCATCACTATTATCAGGAAGACAGGGTGTTCTCCCCGACTCCTGCTGGGCATAACAGGGATGTTAAAGGTAGAGAAGATTAATTAAAGAACGTTCACCGCTGTGAGTTCAGCGGCTCCATCCCACCAAGGACATGCACTTAATCAATGGCTGCTGCTGCTAAGAGCAAGAAGATGACAAAGGCATGTCCACAGTCACCAGGTAAATGGTGCCCTTGCACTCTGGGTTACTTCTAGCACCTGGATGTGTCCTCTGCAGGGCCCCTGATGCTGTAAGGCTCCGTCTCTAATTCTCTGCTGGACGTCCACAGGCACCTCAGACTGCACTTCCTGCTGACATGGCCATCCTCACGATGACCAGGGCTCAAAGCCTTAAGCAATCATCTGACTCTGCTTTCTCCAGGGCCCACATCTGACCAGCTTCCCAGACTTGTCAATTCTACGTCCACAATCTCCAACGTCTGACTTTAACCTTCTTCAGGTCCTCATTACTTCTATCTGGAATACTGTCACAGGCTCTTACTTGGCAGCCCATACCCAGCGTCTCCCTCGCCAGCCCCTCCTTCACTCAGTGGCCAGAACTATCTTCATACCCAGATCTGATTTTGTCACAGCCTTGCTAAAAAGTCTTCAGTGGGGCCCCACTGATGACAGGAGAAAGAAAACAGGGCAGCGGGGTCTCCCCAATCCCCCACTTTGCTCTCCTGCCCCTGGGCTTCCCAAGGAGATCACCTTCTCTAAAAATCAGGAATGAGAGTTCACATTTAGACAGCCTTTTCCCTAAGATTTTCCACATGGTGAGGCAGGTTACGTGATTTAAAAAGCTAATAATAACCCCAATGAACTTGTAGATGAGAAAAGTGTGGCTGAAGAAGGTGAAGTGACCTGGCTGAGATCACATCGTGTCCAAGGCAGGACCAGAACCTGGAGCCTCGGGTCTCACTCAGCTCAGTCTCATTTCTATCATGTTAGAAACCTATTCTCTACACATCTCCCCCGCTGACATCCTCCTCCTCCAGGGCTGAGCTGAGGCTAGGCCTCCACCTCCAATGCAGCCTTCTCTCCCCTCGCCACCTCTCCTGCAGCCTTCTGCCTCATCCTCCTTTCCTGCTAACATTTCACCTTGGGGCGCAGGTGATGAACACTTTTTTTATTCCCCCAAATTAACTTGCACACTTCTGGAGGATTTGGTCTCTCTATGCTTAGCACACGATAGGAATTTTTAAAATCCTGGCTGAAGTGATTCTGTGACGTTAAGTCACATTAAAAACTCATCCCGCTTGAATCCTGCACACTTGTGGGTTGATACCTATGGCAGACTTAAGTCACCTCAGGGTATCTGGGTAGGTCTTTTTAATGATTAAAATCAGAAAACGATGAGGTCTGACTCTAAAGAGATATGAGGGGCAGCTGGCAAAGTGGACAGGGCATTGGACTTAAACTCTGGGCAAGTCCCTTACCCTGTGTGCCTCAGTTTCCTCACATGTAAAATGGGTGTGAGGGCGGACTCAATGGTCTGAGATCCCTATGACCTGTTTTAATAAACATCCTAAAATCCATATAGTTACATAAGCATCAGTCAGCATGGCACAGTAGAAAGAGCACTGGCCCTTGCATCAGAGGTTCTGCGTTCAAATCCTGCCTCTGGGTAACCTGAGTCAAGCTACTTGGTGGCCTGGGGATTCCCTTCGAGGTCTTATTCTCATCAAGGTCAGTACTCTGAGAAAGAAAGCGAACACTTATCCAAGACTATCACTGCACTTTAGGAGCTTCTCTCCAGCAGCTGCCTTTCAGAGCACATGAACATACGGCAGGTTCTTTCAAGTATCATTGGAGACAGCTGATCTTCAGCTTCTTAACAGACATTTGATGTTTGGAAAGATGAGTGGGCACCATTGTTTAGGGTCCAAAAAAAAACCATGGCCACAATGGAACAAGACCAAAGTAATGATTATGAAAAGTTCTCCAAATATTTTGACAACGGCAGGATCATCATAAAAGACTCCTAAAGTAATGACTTTAAAGGGGGTTAAAAAAACAAATAACAACCCAATCTCTTTACTTATAGTCCTACCATAAATGGTGAATGGGAAAAAAAGGAATTAAAGAGTTCTTTGCTTCTAAAAAATACATGTATCATCAAATGTTCATGGTCACTGGAGATGGCCCATAATGTCCACAAAATGGTCAGATTCATTGCTGATTCATATTTCTCTCCCAGAAATTCACTTACCCTCAACAATGTGAGTGTAGCAAAGCCAGACAATATATGTCAACACCATTACAAGCACCCCCCAGCTAATTCTACTTTGATTGAGAATATAAATGTGATTTTATTTCTGTAAAACAGCAATGAGATGGGAGCCTTTTTTCCTGCTCAGATAAACAGACTCAGTAAATGCTTATAATTTTGAAGACAAACAGCTTGACCATGACAGCATTGAAATCAACATATATGTGCTTTTTACTTAGGAAAAGTGGTCTGGCTGACAGAACGCCTGAGTGAGGCTATTGAGACGCTGCTGCCATGTCAAGCAGACTACAGGACAGAACAGTGCTGCCGAAGGGAAAAATGCAAAGAAAGTCATTATAATTAAGGCTTCTACTCTTCACAGGGTAATAACTGTTGAACAATTCTTGAAGAGTAAATACACTTTCTACACCCTCCTCCCTCCTCAAAACAGCCACCAAGAATTTAATATGTATTGCTGAACATGTGCAAAAATTATAGTAAATTGCTTCAGAAACGCAAATTATTGCAATCAGCATCTTGTTTTCTAGTTCTAAATCCAAAGGCAAACTATTTAACATGAGTGCTAACTCCTACTACTCTCACATATTCCCAATTCTAACAAAACTTATTTTCAGATAGACCATGCCAAAATTAACCAAGAGATGCCAAAGAAATCTAATCAAGGTTGACAAGCCCCAAAGTGCTGAAAACTCAACACAATTTAAACAGTGGCCACCCCCACTGTAAAAAGACCCCACAGCTCATACACCCCCTCAGGAGTCCATGAAAAGCCAAACCACTCCATTTCCAGATCACCCTGACCTGGAGCTCCACGGGCCCTTTCCAGGAACCCGGATATCTGGCTAGGAAGGCCACCAGTGTCCCGATTATCCTTAGGAGGTACATGGAGACCAATGGAGACACAGTGATGATTTGCTCTGTGTGGGTCTAGATGAACTGGGAGGCACTGATGATTAAGTACACTCTTTAAATCCAACCCAGAGAGAATTAAAAGACCAGAG